AGCGTACGTGGCATACGGTGCGTCAATGCAACAATGTCGACAATAAACGTGTCTCACGTTGTGCTGGTGGCAAAGGTGATGGCTGTCATAAAAAAAGTAACCATAAATGTAACTATAAATTTCACGAAATGGTTTTTGCTACAAAATGTAGGCAACTGGGGAGTGTGGGGGTGAGATATCCCTAAAAAGTAGTTGCAATTAATGATAATTGCTAAATTTTCGTTTTGTGCTTTATGAAAAGCATTACTTTTTAACTTTAATATTACAATAAAAAGCGAAAAAAAAACACAATAACCGAATTTAATTTAATTGCCTAATTTAGGATCACATAGGTATTATACCTAAGTATGTACTTTCAATAGCTTTCATTTCATTTTGTGTTCTCAGCAGAGGAACATATTTTGGCTTATTATTTAAATAAAAACTAATTACTTAAAATATGATAGATATCTTGAATACATATGGCAAATTTTACTTAATTATGACTAACACAATACAGGTATATCAAAATAATTATAATCATACTTGTACTTTAATAAAATGTTAGTATTAGAAACGTCTTCATATTCCCAGAAGCATCGATTTTTGGAAATGTTTAGCATTTTTTGTCTATTTCATTTAATAGATGTATAAGTATGTATGTATATACTTTTTACATTACATCCCGTTGGACCGACGTCGGCTTTTACACGCAATAAGATTAACTTCGGGCTGCACCACGAAGGGCAATTGAGACTTTAAGGCACCCTTAATATGAACAAACGTGTATATACAGTTTATGTATTGTATAAGTATCTAATTTTTTTATGTACACTTCAGTTCAGCTTAGAATTGAATAGTAATTATTAATAGAATAGAAAAAACAAGAAACTTCGAAATTTCAGTAAACATCCAGGCTATTATAAATAATAAAATAAATAAATTAGTGATTTTTTATACTTTTTTTTTGCTATACCGCTCTCAACAAGAATGTAAAAAAACAAACGATTCACATGAATAAAATATGACGATTTATTTAAACATGAAGTACAACCTTTAATGACCTACAGAAAAGTCCTGTTGTAAACCTGATAAATAAATACGTATGTATAAGGTAATTAGTGGCTAGTACATCCGCTCCTTAAAACCACTTTGAGTGCAAGCAGCCATACAATATTTGACTTAAAGAAAAGAAATTTAATATTACCCAAAATAAAGCGCGAATCGAACTTAGTGTATTATAAGTAGTTTAATCTACTATAAGCTACATACTGTGATTTCTTTGTAGATATTTTATGAAATGGGAGAGCTTTCCGATACATGTAGATTTTTAAAGTTAAGTATGCCAAGGCCAACCGAAGTGACGTCTTATCTATGTAATATAACATATAGCGTATGTGTGAACGTAAGTTGGTATGGATACGCTTTCTTTTGTTATGTGAATTCAGGCAACAGCCCTGCATAATTATATGGTAGCACATATATATATTCTCCAGTCTTATGAAAACTTCTTAGCTGACTGGCAACTGTTTTATAAAAATTTTCAAAACAGCAATAGACATGCCATATGTACATAATTCATTTTGACAAAAATGAAATTGGGATTGGCTAAATGACTACATTTGAAAGGAGTGCCGACCTCGTTATCAGATGTATTGCTTGAAATATGCATTTCAATCAATGTTTAATGCTCTACTATTTTCTACAGGCTGTATTTTTACTAATTTCACAAGAGTAGTTTGTATTTCAGTTTAAGGAGTTGGAAACAATATGGTTTTTGGAAAGGAGGTTCACATTACCTAGCTACAATTGTTGTGTTAGAGTTATGTACAAAATTTTGTTCTTTCAACCGTGACAAAACCGTTCGAAACTTTTCCGAAAAGAAAACATATTTTTGTATATTAAAAAATGGAAGCTACTCACTTGTACAATAATGATCATTTATATAACAAAATGTGTATAAAAGCACAAAAATTATTTTGTAATATTATATTACTTTTAATATTCTTAGACTTTCAAACGCTCTTTAATGCGAAATGCGGCATGAATAAATATGCTGCTCAGCGAAGCACTTCCTGCGAACGTGTCTATGAACACTGTACTTGTGTGCGCCGACTTTCCACAGTCTGAAGATGAAATGAATACTATGTAAAAATAAATAATACGAATATACACAAATCGGAAAAGGTTAATACATTAATATGGAAGAAATGTGATTATAGAAAATAACTGATGTGTCCACCAACTATCTATGTAGTCAAAGCCGTATCCACATGACTTTTTTGGCAAATCAGTGTTAATGCCCGATACCCAAAATTGGTACCGAACTTGCAAATTTATGTTGTGGACGTTAGAATTGATTGCAATTTGGCACAGCGCATAAATAATAAGAAATACAAGCAACCACGCACTCACCGGATATATGTATGTACATTCATATATACATACATATGAAGAAAAACATTATACCCACTCATATAATCATAAGAGCAGTAAAATGCGAAAAAGGAAATACAAAAAAAAATAAATAAATTTAATGTCATGGAACCCCTTTAGTACATTAGAATTAAATAATATACGAAATCGGCATATGTTTGTATTAGAGTGTAGTATATAACATAAAATTGAAAGAAAAATGACAAGAAAGTGTAAATGAAATATTTACATACCATACATATGCATGTTCCTATGTACATATGTGTATATTTCTCTAAAGATGAAATAGCCCTGTAATTACCGAAAGTGTACAAACAACGCTTAATTAGAAATTTTAGAGCCGCATTTTAATTAGCAGGTTAGGTTGTAAAATGCAACAATTTGTGTAACAACAGGCAAAAAACAAGAAAACTTGTTAATATTATTGGAAAATTGGAAAACTTAAGTATAGAGTTTAATCGATTCTAACATTGATTCAAAGTAATTATACTTTAAGAAGGCTGTGCACAATGAAAATGATTTAGAACAGAAAATACAGACCGACCACTAGAAAACTATGTACATACTTATATACAAATTCATAGAAATGCAAATTATGTAAATAAGGTTTCGTGCTTTTAAGCTTAGAAGATAAGTAGCTTAAAAATGCAAAATTAATCATAATCAACAGTTTTGAATTTCATCTCTAACTCTGCTTTGTTTTCTTAACACCAAATTCGCCCACTTGTATTCAACAAGCTATTCTCAAAACATATTCATAAAATAAATTTGGTAAAATAAATACAATATGTATAAATCTATATATGTAAATAAGTAGATATATATATTTTTTTTGTTTGTTTGATTTGACTTTCCTGTGTCTCAGTGAAACGAAATCTACAAAATTTAGCACCATAATATTTAAATACGTGAGCCCCTCTTTTGCGCATGCTGTTCAGTCGCGAAAGAACCACACCCACGAAGTGTACTATACAAGTATGTACGTGCAGTTGTATTATATACATACATAAGAATTCATGCAAACAGGTACATATATTCGTTTGACTTCGTATTTTCGAAGCACATATTCACATATAGACATTGTATAATGCTTAATCATAACAGATGTCCAAATGTACATACAATGATACATGCAAATTCATAAATATTTGGACAATTTGGTTTAACCAAAAAAACGGCATTACAATTTTGCATTAAGTTTGATTCATTGTTTACATGTTCCCCAAAAAGTACATATATATTCATAAAATATATGTATGTACAATCAAATATATTCATTGCGATTCCAGTAAAACTTTTTAAGCTAGCAGTGCACAGCTGTGACCACAATTAGCACATCAAAATAACATGCATCCCAGACTTCTTGCTTAAATAAATTCACGTAGATGTACCATTTTCGAATTTTTTTTGATCTGTTTGTATAATGTGTCGAAGTGAACTGCACGCGTTTGAATACACTGAAATAAAAAAAATAATAATATTATAATAAAATGCACGATATGCATACATATATATACTCTATAAAAAATAGATTGAAAACAGAAGGAGTAAAATAAAAATTAATAAAACGTATGTTCTATTATACTAAACAGTTTATACATACATACGTCTAAATCAATCGGTAAACAGCCATAGCCCTTATAGTAGTAACAAGTCTTTCACCGAACATTTTTAATTTGATTATCTGATTACATATTGAGCAGTAAACAATCTCATTGATGCATGAAACACAATGATGCTTTGAACCATTGTATAAATCTACAAGTAACCAATCCTAAGTTTTTCAGTACACATACGCAAAAAAACTGTAATTTGCCACGGGTTGCCCCCAAATATTCTACTACTTATTAGACACATTTCTATATACCATATACATAAGAAAAAACGTTTTTACACATACATCCATAACATACAAGTATATTGTAATAAACGTGAGTCCAAAACAAGAAGAAAGGAAGATGCCCATCTAGCACACTAATTACAACCAAAAAGAAATTCTTATTATATATTTTTGTATATACGTATGCATATATACCTACATACATATGTAATAAGTCCGTGAATATTGTTGAATGCCATAAATTGACTTTTAAAAGACTAATGCTACCAAACCATGTGGAAGTCATATTGTCAGCTCCACTTTAATCTTTTAAAAGCTCAACTATTATGAGTTATGTATTTTTATTTATACATAGTCACAATCACTTTCACATACATATGTACGTGATCGCAAAAATGACAAAATTACTAGGATATGTTATAATATATTAAAAATTATGATTTTTTAGATTTTTGAGAATACTTTTTAATATAAAAGAATGAAATACTTTTAGTTACATCTACAACTTTCGTCGATATATATTTTTTTATTGCTCGATTTGAAGACGACGACCTTCAGTGTATATATGTAGTTAATTGAATAATTAAAAGTAACTAAAATTCTTACTCATAAATTTCAATTAGCCCCAAATGAATTAAAATTTTAATGAATGAGTCTAATTTGTGTATGTTGTCTTGCTGAAATATTTTACTGATACCTATTTCTCTGCATTTCTTTGATTAACGTATTTGTCTTTCTATTACAGAAATTTTATTTTGAATGTCTTTGCATCTGCCTTCGTAAATACATTTATGTATAAAATTTAAAGTTAGTTTAACGTTACCTACAAATGAGGATGGATTATATGGGCGGCGAAAAAACTCATACTTTATGAATGTATATTTGAATGTGATACAAGTAATAAAAATAAGAAATAACAAAAAAGAAGTTTGAAACACGCCATTCAACGCTTTTATCTGTGATTTTGCGCTGTAATAAGTCGCATTAGTATATTTTTTTGGGCTTTGGTCTAAAAACGAAATTAAAATCATAAGACAACATAATGTTTAACCTCAACACACCATCGTCATTGCTGGGCATCGATTGCTCTGGCCTAAGCACAACACCAAAAACTCCTGAAATTCTGAACTCTTTGATCGCAATGACAAATCCGATGGACAACTATAGCTTCGCACCTTTAAATAATGATTCAGCTGCATCAACTCCAGGTAGCGCTGTCTCAATGCGCAGCTTTAATGGAACCTCGAACGCCCAGGTGAGAAAACTTTTTATTATTATGATATGAACATATTATATATTAAATTTATCCTATATAGATCATATCGCAAGATAGTAGTCATTCCAGCTCTTCAACATCACCTGCAGACTCGCCTAGTGGGATAAATACTACTCCAAGTGTTCAACAGGTACGCTTTTATTGTTTATATTTTAACTAAATTTATATGTCTAGAATACAAGCAGTCCACTAAACCCATATTTATCCTATCCTTCCCCGAATAATATCTTTTTTCAAATACCTTTATCTGCCATCTTTTTGGAAGCTTAAGATTAAATATTATATTAAACAAACAAATAAATATTAATTATTATAAAAAGCCCGAACGGCTGGAAAATTTAGGTCAAATATTTACATTGCTTTTTTCTTTCTATGCGTGTGCATACTATACTTAGTACATGCATAAAACGCGTTTGCAAAAGTGTGTGTGTCGCTAGTGTTTTATTGCTATTGCCTTCATTCATTTAAAGGTGTGGGCTTACTCAACGACCAGTGCATGAAGTCTCTACTCGTGACATTGATGTGCGAAGTTGTGTTATCAAGATTGGCGCGGTACAGTTCGCATTGATTTTGTAACAGCAACAACAGCACACAATTTATGAAATCCTCTTTCATATAATGCGTTTTTATCTCGTAAAGAACCGTTTTTAATGTGATACGAGCATACTTATATACTTAGATTTGTATATAACATATTGTATTTGAACTTGAATTATTTTAGTATTAAATATTGTACAGAAGTTCAAAACAATATTTTGCGGCTCAGGCGATCACAGAAAGACGATTCACGATTTAACCAGCCCATACATACATATGTCTATATGTTGTGTGAGTATGGACATATTTCTTCAAAGAAAATGCGTGCACTTGTATACTTGTATGCATAACAAGATTCGAACTATATGTATATGGTATAAGCAAATTGTGTCACGTGCTAGTGTAGGTGTTTAGTAAATAAATGGATTTATCTACATATATTTCAGTTTCGTAAAAATGACTGCACTCTTCGTTTCATACCGAAGAGTAATCACTTTTACACAGCAGCGCACTGTGATGGAACGAAAAGTGGACAAGCTGCCATACTTGGAAACTTCAAACCAGTGCAACATTGTTCCCAAATATGCAATATCCACTTTACTGCAAAATAAGCCTTTTTGCATTTATGGATATTGCCGACAATCCAGATTTACTTATAAAAAAGTAAACAGTGGTATTTTGTTTTTTGTATAAACCAAAAACACTACTTCATTTTCCAATGTCGACAAATAAAATGGATATACACACTTAACCCGCCAATACATTTTTTTTTAATTCAACAGTAGATTACCCACAAAACATTGGCTTGAAAATCCTGCATGTGCTTGAATTTAAAAGAAAATAATCATTTATGTTAACAAATTATACAAGCATAGATTTTAGTTAAATACTACTTCTTAAAGTAACGAGTTTACTTATGCATCTGCTTTTATGATATTCTTTTTCGGTTACAGACGTGTTCGCAACTTATTAAGGCTGGACTTAAGCTTTCAATTCAAAGCAAGCGAAAGCTGTCTACCTGTGATTCAAGCTCTAGCTCCGATCAGCCAAACTCCAAATATTCCCGTCCTGATGAAGATGGCGAAGAATCAACGGATGAAGAAATTGAATGTAAGACGTCTTCAAAAGGTCTAACACCAGAGGATGAGGATCGACGGCGACGACGCCGCGAACGCAATAAAATCGCAGCTACCAAATGTCGCATGAAGAAACGCGAGCGCACCCAAAACCTTATAAAAGAGTCGGAGCAATTGGAAACCCAAAATGTGGACTTAAAAACCCAAGTTCGGTCATTAGAAGTTGAACGTCGCAAATTACTTGATATGTTGCAAGGCCATTCAACAACTTGCATACATGCAGGTGGATTAAATTTACCTTCTAAACTATTGCATTCACCAGCTCATAAGTACCTCACCGCCATTGATATGGATGACAATAGTACTGCCAATGGAGACATGTCTACAGCAAACGCCACAGTTAATAGAATTCAGTCCCAAACGCAACAACAAGTTCAAGTTAACAACACTTTTAGTAATCAGTCAACTCATGGAGCACAACGCACTGTAATCCCACCAATGTCAACCATCAAATTTCCACGGAGTGCAGCAGCTGTTGCCGCTGCTGTTAATCAGCAACTGCATCAACTACCAACACAACAACAGCATTTGCCAAATGGCTATTGCAAGCCGTCACCAACGCCACAGGAGCTTGGATATATAACTTCCCCGTCACAAGAAAATATATGCTTGCCTGCCAACTTACCGAAACTTTCGTCACAATCTTCTGCTACCCCCCAAATTGGGACTGCCACCGTAGTTTCTTCCATTAACCAGCAGCTCTCTGATTACATTCCTAACTGTGAAAATAGTCTTGGTTTGATATTAGCCCATACTCCCACCTCGGTTCAAAGCAATGACGACGGCAGTGTACTACTTGGTGACATTGTTAGCCCCCTTTCAGTCATGCCTACACCTACGACGGCGACAGAATTCGTAAAAAATGAGCTAGTCGACTCACAAAGCCCCTACACCACCGCTCAATCAGCAGAACGTTTCCTTTTTGAGAGTAATTGTGACAGTTACGTAGACATTAAACATGCTGTCAGCTTACATCATGGAAGTCTCAATAATAATAATAACAACAATAATAGCATCACAGCTCTACATCAAAGCAGCAATAATAACCTTATGGATTTCAATACCTCCCTGGTAGGTGGAAGTAGTGGGATTGTACCTTTCCACGATCAAATATCGATTAAAAATGACTACTTGCACGACGCTGATTTGTTGGCACAACTCACCGGAGATGGTGCTGAATTTGTGGACCTTGATTCTAGTGTTGCGGCAACATTCATGACAAACAATGGATGTTTGGCGTAAATTCGATTTTATAGTTATTGAGAAGAAAATTAGAAAATGTTTCTTCTTTCAGTTAAAAAATTAAGCATCCCAGTGAATATGGCAAACGTGCAGTTATTAAGGATTAAGTAAATAACAGGTAAAGGGTCAAACAGAGGCAGCACTGACTACAAATGAATAGTTAGTCAGAGCCAACCACTTGAAATTAGAAAACGTAGTACGAAAGTACGTACGTTTTATTATGTCACGTTCTCCAATCATAACATCCTAGTATTAAAGTAAGTAAAAGGTAGTCTAGGCTTCGTAGAACTGGTACGGTATTTCAATAACACATGCGTATACACTCCTAATTGTGTTTTAAGTCTTCCACTAAGTAATGTTGAATTTATTTATATGCGTACCTTTTTTGCATTTGATTAATACCTTCCAAAATCAATTTAATCATTTCTATACCAGTTAACTAAATGAAGCCCGGTTACCACCAATCTCGAATATTTTAATTGACTTGGTGGTTTTAAAAATTCATATAAAACCAAGAGTTTTAGACGAGAACCTTTGGTGGCTTTACTACCTCAACGATCCAAAAGAAACAGGATAATCTGTAAAATTTCGTTACAATCTGCAAATTGGTAACTGTAGGGCTTTCATAGATTGAGAATAGCTCTAAGGAAATTTTTGTTTTATATTTTTTCTATTGACATACATAGCATTCCAAAACTACAAAACCAGTAGACATAAAATTAAATTGCTAAATATTTTATAAACATAGCTATTTGAAGAATCCCATCCGCAGCAGTAATTACTATTTTTAATAGCTACAATATTTATTTTATTCTTAATAAAAGGCACATTTTATAGATTAGCTTTGTAATATCAAGGTCCGATAAAGGTAAACAGATCTGAGTGAAATTCTTAAAAATCAAAGTAAAACTGCAATGAATTAAATAGTAATTAATATGTTAATGAGATTAGGTGTGTAAGAAGCCCATCATTTTTATATTTACTAACTTCAAAATTTTATATACGAAGATTTGTGTATGCGAAGGTTATGCAAAATAACTGAGCTACGTAATTGATATTTTTTATATGCTTTCTAAACCTTTATATATAGTTGTATTTATTTTATTTAGGTTTTAATTGTACAGATATTTTTATTTTGCAATTTAGTATTTAAACAGAAATTATGATATTATATATAAGTGATATATGTGCGCATATGTATGACACTCCATATGTATGCAGTAATTTAAGAAATTGTATGCCTTATATAAACAGAACTAGCAACAACCAATGTAACCTACGATCTGCTTAAAACTAAACTCAGCTAACCTCATATTTTATAAATATTATATATTAATGTATAAAACTAATATATGTATGTACTAAAATAAAGAAAAAACCTATGAAAAGTTTACAAGCGAAAGTTAAAAATATTCGATGTTCAATGTTGCCTTAAATGTTCATTAAAACGAATATAATCTAAAAACAAATGAATGAAACGAAATAGATTGAATAAAGAATTACCATTCTAAAAGTGCGCTTAAAACAAAATCTTTCTATTTTCCAATTATACACGTACGGAAACCACATTAAAGATGTAAATTATCATGCACACTTGTTTGTAATCAATAAAAATGTTTTTGCAACGAAAATTGTATTTTAATAGAAAAATTCAACGAATAAAAATGAGATAAATATATGCGCATATTTATTTATAAAATTAAATGGTCAAAATCTGTATGCATACGTGTTAATAAAAATGACAATTTGAATACTTTAGCTGAGAATACCGATTTTAGGGCGGACTTAAGACACAAATGATACGCCAAGTATTTTAAATAAAATATATGCGGTTGCATGTGCCTTCTATTTAATGCTTCGTTTTTTAGTAAGTAACGAACAAAATATTAAATGTGGGATGTGTAAATAAAACAAAGAGATTGAAATTTTACTATATTCAGAATTGAGCATAAAGTTAAATATTTGGATCTAATGTTCTCTTTAATGCAATTGATATAAAAGATATAGATATGCACATGTCTATAATCTAAAAGTAACAATGTGGCCGAATAATAGTTATACAAATTATTTCGGTTTAACAAATTTTTGCAAAACGAACTTAATCACAATGTATAAGTGCCTAATAATGTATGTATGTATGATATAATATATAACATAAATCTAAAATGAAAAGAAAATGACAGTAGCAAAACGAAAACAAAATATAAAACAAATGGCTTTTCATATTTAAAAAGTTTTCCATGTTTTACATGCACATATTTATGTACTCAAAAATATACAAAAACTAAAATTTCAACGGTTGATAAATTTTATTATATGAAATCAAAAGTATTAGTTAATGTAAGGCAACAATGCCAAAGTAAACAAGCGAAAAAACTATAGAACACTTTCCTATTTGTGAAAGTAAGTGGCGACAGGCAGACCTACATACATACATGTATATAGATGAGAAAATCATAATTTGTTTTCATGCCACTCAGCATTTGAATATTAATATTGACATGAATTCTTTGGAGCCGCAAAAAAATATGTGTATATGTACGTTTAAGAGGCACTCTAATTAAAAAATTAGGCAACACAGTTACCACAAAAAAATATAACTATGATGTTAGAATCAAATAATTAATCGATGATTAATGATTACAAATTCAAAATAAAAAAAATATATATAATTCTGCGTAAAATTAAATAACAGTCATTGAATCAGTACTTATTTGTAAGCAATTGCCAACAACTGCACATTTTTTTTAAACGAAAATGAAACATAAATAAGTATTCGCTTGTTAGTCTATTTTTGAGTCAGCTATTTCAGAATGTTAAACTTGAACCTATCACCAGTGGAAAAAAGTACAAAATAGGAAAATAATTTTAAGTTACACTAATTTTTATAAATTGAATAACCTAACGCAAAGTCATATACAAATAAATTAAGTCAGAATTTAGCGCTACAAAAGTACCTGCTCGGTATACAGTACCTTTTGAATGGCGTAAAACAGCTTGAACAATCTAAAGAATTTTTTCATAAATAAACTTACAGAATCTTATGTGCAATTGTTGGTAGTTTTATATTTCATTATATAAAAAACAAAAAAAAAATTGATAAAATGTGTGTCCATAATATATGATGTTATAATATCAATTGATTCAGAGCTTTCCATGTATTTATTTCAAGAGGAAATTATGAGTGTCAAAAGGCTTACAAATAAAAAAATATTAACATGTTTTTGACGTGTGCAAAAACATACTTAAATACTTGTATATTTGTATTACGCCTAGTCCACTATATAATCCAAGCCAACAAATATATACATATATTATATGTATATGCCTGTTTGTTTATAGAATGGTTCAATATACATATGTTTGTTTTTAATTTTGTTACTATTTGTTTTAAGAATTTGTTTTATGTTATATTATGTTTGTATAAAGGCATACTAAATAACAGTATGTTGTTGATATAAAATAACTTATTAATACGTAACCAAAAAAATGCACACCCGCAACCTCAAATAAAAAACGCTAGAGGCATATACCTTTTATTATGCTTATTTTTGTTTTACTTTTGTCTGTTCTGAATTATATGTTTTAGTAGATTATATGTATATTTACATATATGTACGTAACTAAAATCTTGTCAACTTTACATAATATGAAATAGTTATATATGTATGTCTGTATATTTATCACAACTGAAAAGTGAACAATTACCAATTGCACACACACACTTTTTAAACTGCATTGGTTCGATGTTAGATATTCGACCTCACATAAGTTCGACAAAACAAGAAAAGAAGTCTACCGTATTTAAATAAAAAAAATACTATGAAAAAATGTTATTAAATGGCACTCAACAAAGTACTTACGTACTACAAACAAATTTTGGGACAGGTGCACATTCGTGGAAAATTAAAAGATTAAATACTAATTACTAAAACCAAAAATAAAAAATAAATGCATTAAAACAGCCGAGAACTGTATTTTTAATTACTATTTTTTTTGCATTTCTTAAAATAAAAATTCTGTAGCAATCAGTAGATAGTTAGCCTAGTGGTGAGGGCCAAAGAAACAATATAGTAATTCTCAATTTTGAAAAATTCATAGAATGAAGACTCAATTCTGTAAAAAGGAAAGAAATTTTAATAAATGCATGTTTATAATATTCAAAAAACTTTCGACTTTGATCAGAGAATGTAAATCACACTTATAGGAAAGTGAGCAGAAAGGTAAAGTGATTATAGTATGGCAACATAATATTATAGTAGGAAAGTTGGAACGTGGTAAAAAAAAGTTCAACTTGAGTAAAATGATTTAGTAAATACTTGTAGTTGGAGACTTCATAGTATATGATGATAAATGTATTTTGGCCGAAAATTAAATTGTCTTCAATAGCCGTGATCGTCTAGTGGTTAGGACCCTACGTTGTGGCCGTAGTAACCCAGGTTCGAATCCTGGTCACGGCAATGTTCGAATAAACATTGTCACGGAGGAAGATATTTTTTCATAAAGCACAAATTATTAATATCAGTATTTCACTTGAATATTAATATTATTTATAAACATAATTAACTCAAAATTAATTAAAACAATAGTTTGACAACAATGATGTTTCATGGAGGTTGATTAGTATACCAATATTTTCACATTTTTATACACTTTTATTTCCAACTTTTAGATAGTGAGGGAATTTAATATTTACATCCGGACTATTATATGCAAAAATTTACGAGTAAAACTTGCGGTACCGAAATCGTTTGGAGACATGCGCTAGTCAAGTGGCCCCGTTAAGCTGGTTTTCGTAGGAGCAAACCTGTGATTTAGGTAAATTCATTTACGTTCTCCGTAAATACTTCTTTCCCCTCCTACTACTGTAGATAAATTTAGATTTCTCCTAATTATGATTTCACCTTGTAAACAATAAGTGTTGAGTATTTCACCACAGAGAGGAAAAGTTATGTACATATAAACATGAAATAGAAATATGAGATTTGTGGCCTTTGGCAAAAATGAAAATAACTTCCAAATAGCCGTGATCGTCTAGTGGTTAGGACCCTACGTTGTGGCCGTAGTAACCCAGGTTCGAATCCTGGTCACGGCAATGTTATAAAACATTGTCACGGTGGGAGTTTTTTTATATTATTTTTAAACTTTATTTATTATAACAGAAGTTCAAAATCTTAAATTAAACTACAAGAAATGTGTTTGCGTTTGCATATGAAAGTATGTGTGTATATGATATGTTACTAAAGTCATTGAATTGTGTATGGATATGTCGATTTTTGTGCGTATTTATTTTTTGAGACTATGAATTGATAATGTTGCTCTTTTTTCTTATCCCACATTATTTTTGAGTCCATTTACACTTTAAAACAAAAAATTTCACATCTATATATTTTTGTATATATTTCATGCATATTAATTCTTTACAATGTATTCAATACATATGTAACATACACATGTAACAACTACAGAATTGGCACCGCATACAAAAAATAATAATAAAATATGTACTTACCCCACATACTAATAAAAACAAAAACATTTTGATTAGATTTTAAAACCAGCTGATGAGGAACAAATGCTCTAAAACTCTCCATTACTTCTTATATACTAATTTAAAAAACAATAAATCCTTTTGGGTTACATGTGTGCATCACCTTTTCACGCAGCTTTGAAAAAGCACCAGTCATCAATCAACACGTACACGTATTCATATATACATAATTGCATATGTAAATGCGTAAAGTTAAAGTTTCCAAATTATTTAATCAAAGTAATATATCATTTAATATTATGTATATAAAATAAGGTGGTTAATATACCCTTATAATTGAAACAGCAATTTAAATTTTTTATACATTCTTAATTCGCTCTATTATATTACAGCAAATAACTCCAAATTCCACTTTTAACGAAATCGTTTGTATCATACGTTAAAAATCCGTTAACTTATTGTAGAATATTAGAAAAAGTGGTAGGACAGTAATTGCACAAACTTTTCGCAGCACAGTATTGAATTATTGCAGACATCAGTACATTTTATATATATTGGTATTTAATTGGGAGTAGAAATATGGTATACTAAAATGCAGTTAATATCAGAGGAACATAATATAAAAACTGTTGACAAAATCGGCATTAATATATTCAAAGAAATTTTCTATAAATACGTTTTTAAATTAAAAATAGTATCACAGGACAGTAAATTACATCGAAATTGACGCGCGTGCCGGATCAAAACAGGTTTTAAAAAGCTAGTCATAAATTGTGTTTCAGTTGTTAATCTTATAAAAATATAGCCAACTCTATATTAAAAGTAATAACATTGATTACAACATTACAATAATTATATATGTGTGTATTCAATAATTCTCCATAAAAAATGTTTAATTTCGTTAGGCAGGTTCAATACTTTTATACACGAAAATTATCACAACATAATAAAGATTTTCAAGATAGCTGTCGAACACTAATTATATGGGACACACTGAGTTTATTAACATCTTAATTTTCTCAGCTAACTAAGCTGTTCAAATATGGTATTAATTAGCTACTAATACGTATGAGCGCAACAGACACTCATAATTTTTACCGTCTACATACATACATATATGTAAATACAATTATTATTTTGAAGACTTATAACATACAGAAATATGTCGGATTATTAATGAAAATATATAATAATTACTTTATTGGATTCGTATTTATTTTACTATTTATAAGTATTGCTTTCTTCCGCTATTTATAAAAGTATATGTTTGGAAGTTGGGTCGATTTTCCAACTTACAAATTTTGTATAATTGATGTCAATTCCTATTGAAAGACTAAACTTTCATTTATTTCAGTATGTTTATACATATATATATTGCCTGTGTTGTATGTTTCTAATCATATAATAAATATTTTGTTTCATGTAATTAATATAACCATTTTAAAATTACATATTTGATATGCTTCTAGTTTTAAGCGAATTCAAAATGTGTATGTGTACATTTAGCCGTCTCTAGAGTGAGGCGCAGCCATTTGCCTTGACAGGACGGAACTGCGGATGCCCGCCATCGCGAAGTTCTACCCGTCGCACCTTCACCACGACAATGGGTATTTTCCCTGTATTTAATATTATTGTTATGAACTGCGGAATTTCTAGAAATCAATCGCGATGCATTCAAATTTGTTGCTCTGTTAGTGTCTCGCAATGTGGAGTTATACGCGGCTTTATTCATTTCATCATTCCATACAGTCAATTTGTTGAACATTTTCCTTATATTACATCGCACTGATATTCGATCGCCTTTAAAGGTATACGTTTTTATTTATATTTGTATACACGTTTAACATGTAAATATAGTTTAAAATTTGATAATATATCAAAAAATCACCTTCCAAAAGAAAATTGTAGGGTGGAACTTTGTGGCACTCCTTCGCTGCATTAATTACTTCGAATTCTATGCAATAACTGAAAATTCAAAAATATATAGGATTATGTATTAAAACTATTATGAAACAAGTAAGGAAGGGCTAAGTTCGGATGTAACCGAACATTTTATACTCTCGCAAAGTCAAATGGTATACTCGTTTGAGATTTCTTTGTGGATTGACTGATATTTTCGGTAGAGGGTCAACTATAGGCACTGGGGTCCACATATTTAGTACTTAGGGGTTTGAACAGTTTTGGTTCGATTTAGACAATTTTTGGCCGCAGGGTGGCATACTTTAATTGCATTATTCACGCAAAGTTTTACCCCGATATAATCATTGTTACCTGATTTGCATAGTGGAAAGTGAAAGAATCAGATGGAATTGAAAATGGTGTTACATGGGAAGTAAGCGTGGTTGTAGTCCGATTTCGCCCATTTTCGCACTATGACATAGAAACATGACAAGAACGTTATGCACCGAATTTGGTTGAAATCGGTTGAGCAGATCTCAAGATATGGGTTTTCACCTAAAAGTGGGCTGTGCCACGCCCACTGACTAATTTTGAACGCTGTTTCTATAAAGCCAATTTATACCATCTCAGAGATAAGATTTATTGTCTCTGGCGTGTTTAGTGCTTGATTTATCGCGCTTTTAGTAGTTTTTAACAGTACCGTTATATGGGGAGTGGACGGAGTTGCCACCCGATTTCAACTATTTTCACACCGTCAATAGAAGTGCTAAAAACATTTGCTTCTAGTGAATTTTGTTATTATAGCATTAGCGGTTTAGGAGATAGGCACATTAAACCTATTAGAGGCGGGACCACGCCCAAAAAAAATTTTAACTGCAGATGCCCCTCCCTAATGTGATCCTGTGTACCAAATAACAGTCTTGTATCTTATTGCGGAGCTTAGTTATGGCAAGTTATTTGTTTTTGATTAATGGCGTTTTGTGGGCGTGGCAGTGGTCCGATTACGCCCATCTGCAATACCAACCGTCTCACGTTACCATTAAACCTGTCTACCAAGTTTCATAAAGATATCTCAATTTTTACTCAAGTTAGAGCTTGCACGGACGGACGGACGGACAGACAGTCACCCGGATTTCAACTCGTCTCTTCATCCTGATCATTTATATATATATAACCCTATATCTAACTCGATTAGTTTTAGGTGATACAAACAACCGTTAGGTGAACAAAACTATTATACTCTGTAGCAACAGGTTGCGAGAGTATAAAAAGAATTGAGTTCAACGATTTATTGAAAATTATCTCACAATATTAGTTCACCCGTTTGAATTGGGTTCTGTAAAAATTAAATTTAATAAATAAGGACAAAAATAAACTTTTTTACTCAAACAAAGAACTTTTTCACATTAAAACACCCTTTAAACGAAAAATGTAAAGAAAACCAAAAAAATTACAGCCATGTTCATCCAGAACTAAACTGTGCCAATTATATTTCGATTTTTCAGCCAATTTCTTTTTCAAAGCTTCAATAGTCCACTCAGTCAAATAAAGCACTTCTTTTTCACACGAAAGCACTTTAAACACAATAGATAAATGAAAGGCGAAAAATAACACATTCATTCACTTCTTTACGGAAACGGAAATCATTACAACCCATTATCTGTTCCTACATGTACACAAAATTTTTCAATCGCATGTATTAAAAAAATAATTAATTTTTAATTTACAAACTGTATTAACTGTCTCTTCTTTTTTAACTTCAACTAAACTATCATTTTATCAAACTAAGAGAAATAAAGTTAAATACTTGTATGTGCACGGAAATTTCTACTCACATAAACTGCTCATATTCACCCAGAGAACATAGTCTAGAATCCCTGTTTTTCTGCTCTTTTTATGTAAGCACTTAATGTAATTTTGCAGAAACAGAAGTCATTTTCACACTTCAAATTACACATATGTGTACATTATACACACAATGAAAAAATATCAGGTTTACTTATAAACATATTTTTTTCGTGTATCGAAAAGCTCTCTGAATTCGATAAAGATATATACATATAGGGAATTGAATCTAAGAGTCCACATTGCAAGAATAAATATAATATACTGACATTCGAACTACAAGTACAAGTAAGAGCTGAGCTCGTTTTGAGCGATCAGTTGTGATTTGAGCGTGGTTCGGGAAACAACATCAGAACAAAGATAGCGAGAATGTACACTAAAGTAAACCTATGAGAACGCGCGTACTTTGTTTAACTTATAAATATTGAATAAAAACGATATACAAGTATGCACGACAGTTACATATTAGATTGTATCTACATATTCATATACATATATGGTATAAATGAGCGAAAGTGAATATAAAAGCGATTTATGAAAATTTAATTATTAAAAATGCCAGCAAATAAAGCAAACAATTAATATCGGATAATTTGAGTTTATAGCTTAATTAATTTTTGATGAATGTCAAAAATGTATAGTAATTAAAATTTGAAACCCAATAAATTAACAATGTTATGACAATAATGGTTTAATTACAATATAACATATTTACTTTTTATAAACTTAAAATGTGATATAAAATCGGTCTAATTATATTTACATACATACAACAAACATTTCTCTAAGGAGAAATACATTTATTTAACCGCACATGTGAATATCTGCAATGAAAAATCTAAATAAATATATATCAACTTACATATCGTATGCGAATTGATAAAAATTAATTGATGACACAAAAAATTAATTGAATAAAAAATACACGCAGCGTCTCAAGTTGACTTGAAGAAAACAATTAACGCACTGGTATATACCGAAAATTTCAAGATTTCTGGTAAAAAACTAACTTTTGGAATGTTCTTTAGAATGTGTTTGTGAATAAGATCACACCTATAATGAATTTACTAAACCATTTACATAGTAAACGCTACGACCGTTTCTTGTAGTAAAAATTAAATAATCTGCATAACCCAACATACGTGAGGAAGGGATCTTTACCGCATGTATACATTCATGCATATGTAGATCATAGCACAAGAACAATTAATAATGATTATTCATGTTGATGTGTGGGCGCGACTACATTCTGTTTGTCACATATCCTGCAAATGTGCGAAAAAAATATGTGACGGAATTTCATTGACATCAATAATGAATTCATTTCATTGGCTGATAATACTCCTATTGTTGGTTAGTTGTGATATGTGCAAATCAAATGAATATCCAGTGACAAACAAAGCAGTTACTGCAACGGACAGCACAAACAGTGGCGAGCAAGTAACGAGTGATATTACACATCTGTTCGATGCAAATATTGCACAGAAAACTGGCCCTGCACCTGAATACACCACAACTCGAAGAGCAGAGATTTTTGATACGGAAAATGTTAAAAATGCAATGATTATAAATGTAACAAACGAGTGTATGGAACACTGCAAACTGGAAGTAAGTTGACTGTAAAATGAAATCTATAAGAAAAACTAGTAAGAGCATAGCTATTAATTTCAGAATCACTATAGCATCTATGACAATATAAAAATTTGCAAATGCAAAGGCATGCAAACGTCGCGATATGCAATTAGTGTCTAATTGGATTATAAAAATGTACTTACTGCATTTGAACATAGTTTTGCAGTACAAGCTTTCTGTAACTATAATGAAATCATACATACCTATATACAATAATATATGTGCATCTTAAACACTGCTAGAGATTACTTCAATACATGATTGACCAAATAGCTTTCAATTTTGATGGCTTCCCGATTCCCAAAAGCAAAGCATTTGTATATAGAGAGTAATTCGATATATACATACATATATTTATGTTTATTAGTTTTCACCTTTGCGATATTATCTTAACATAAGCTCGTTGGGTTGAAAATGCATTTTTCAAAAACCAATTTTTAAATTGCCACTTCTACAGTGACATACAATTAGCTGACAATTTTTACATAGGTATGTAGATACTAAGTATTTACTTTAATTAACAGCTAATTAGTAGCATCTAAACTAAGATCAACCAATCTCATCTACCGTGTCGTATACTGCTTGCTCACGTGTTTGAAATTGTCTTTGAGACAGTGAGATTTCTATATAAAAGTATGTGCATCTCATTTAATTTTTGTCAATTAAAACAAACAATTCGTACAGAAACATAGCATAAGCTCATACGTGCATATACATATGTACTTGGACGTATGTATATACAGTGCCAGTATTGTTAGCGCCGCTTACCACACTTTGCCGATTTCTACGAGAACAGATTGTTTGTGTTAGAAATGTGGAACACATCTTCATTGGTCGTCGTCAGTCGTTAAATAATATGAATTATATAAACGCATGCTAACATTTAATAGCTACTTTATCGTCGAATATACGTGTATGTACGCCTGTAGTCGAATGCATTCATTTTACAACAATAGCCAAGTGATTAGAGATCTTCATACAATTGTATGTAAGAAAACTCAGCAAGATTAATCGTATTAATAGTATTTGTGGTCAACGGTAAGGACTAGTTACAAAATTAGGTTGGTTGGAACATCTAGTACTGTCTATAAGACCTAATTCAACCAAAGTAGGAAATAGTAACACGTGACCAAAGTACAAATAGTAACATGTGCAACTTTAGAAACTTCTCCAATTTTGTTGATATATCATTTCAAAACCTCTTCTGTGGAACTTTTCTCCGCTAATTCTATTATTACTATCATATGCACGTCGCATTCACCTAAAGATTTTAATTACATTTTAGTATAGCGAATTTTCGTAATCCAACAACACGTGACTACCACATAAATAACTTAATCTTAATTCAAAATTAAAATATTTTTGTTAATACTACTTTTTTAATGATTCTACACAAAAAAAATACATCAAGCTATAAGTACATACATGGAAATAATATTGCTATACATACGTGTGTACACATAAAATATTGTATTTATCTTGAACATTGTCACTACTATTGTAGTTTCGTAAAGCATTATGACAGTATGTAATAAATGATTTTTCTTATATGAACGAAACTGATTATTGCAATGAATTTTTTTAAGGCAGCTTACTATTTGAATGAATACGGATTGGATTGTGGTGCCAAAGGCGGGAGTCCCGTATGCTTCGAGAAACAAGTAAGTAAAAATTTTAATTAAGTGACATCGCAAGATAAAAGCCACTAAAATCTTATACATATTCGCATGTTTTATAAATAAAAAAAATACTGTCTGATCCTTTTTAAATATTTTTCTGCAAACGCCCGTTAAAAGCATGTACGTAATCAAATTATATCATTGTTAAACATTGATTTGAAAGCGAATGGGTTATAAGTTATTTTTCTTAAGTAGGAAAAGAAGAAAGAAGAAATTTTTCGAATATATGAATGCAAAAGACCACGGTGTACAATGATCATATGTACATAAATGCGGTATTTTTCCCCTGAAATAGAAACTTGAGAGCAGAAAAAATCGTAAGGAACAAAATAAGGTGAATTAAGACGAAAGGGGCTATAAAACAAGATATTTGGTAATACATTTTACTTTACATTTACCTACAGCAACATATAAATTTAACAGCACACAGTTTAAATGTACCATTCGCAATGAGTAAAATACCTTGTGCAAGTAATTAAGTAACGGTATTATTTATATGTGATAATAATATAATATATTTTGGTCAGTTTACATATAATCTCACTTTGTCAATCAATTATTATTTTGTAGCTAAATGAGTTACGTGTTTAGTGCCATAAATCAACATACCCAACTTCCTCTTTTATTTTCTTAAGATTCAAAAGGTTGCAACCTGACCTGTAAGCGAATGCTTGCACACATAACTACGAGTTTGTATAACATTTATACGGAAGAAATAACGTATTATTTGATACGTAGTATGCACCGTTTAACATAGGTACATATATTTAAAATATAAAGACTAATTCTTACAGTGCACAAAAGGATGTGAACAATGGATGGAAGCGTTAACCAACTCTGAGAGCTGCCAGGAAATATGTGTAAGTGAATATATTATTCGTATATGGTCTTCAACATCGCATGTACTATTTATCAGGCTTCATATATTATTTCCCACACTTACCTTTTTACTGCGTATTAGGTTTCAACGCAACTACATAGTCTGGATTTACCATGCACGTTTGCATGCGAGATGGGTCAAAGGCGATACTGGGATTACCAAAAGGAAATGATAGAACCAAAAATAAAACTTGAAATACCTTACATAAAAATGTCAAATAACACAGATGATTTAAAATTGGTTTGGAATATATTGTTGCCTGATTCTTTTTTCCATCAGTTAAGCATATACATTCAATACCAATATATTAAAGAAAACAAATCCGAAGCACAAACTTGGGAAAATCTTACAAATTTTGATTGCAACCGGTATTTCGTGTGTGAAATATTAAATGATTTGATTCCTTTTGCTGTATATAAGGTAGGCATAAACTTAAAAGCTTTACAAAATGTATTAAAACGTCTTCCACTTCAGTTTCGTTACAAAATGAAATTTGGAAAAAATACGAATCAAATTGTATATTCGCCACCAACGAAGTCATTTAGGACCAAAGCTAAAGGAGTCCCACTTTCGAAACCACTGTTGAAACAAGCAATTGCTTTGGATCACAATCATATCAGTATCATTTGGAAACCAGGTATTTTTACTTGTGGGCCTTTAAAAGGCTATGTGTTGACTTTGGAAAACACAAATTCATCACAAAAGCAGGTATTTAAAATAAAAACTTACGAATGGTTAATTTTAAAACTACTACTCTCATTGAAAATAGATATTACCTCACGACAGGGAAAACTTTGTTTTTTCCCATTTGTTACCAGCTACGAAATACTCTGTAAAACTATCCATGTTAAATATGGAGGGGGAAGGTAGTTTTGTTGAAACATTTATTCAAACAAAAGCTGCGTCTTTATATGGAAATTCAGAGAACATTGACCTAGTGCTTTTAGCTGGAGAATATAGCATTAGAATTAAAAGTTTAGAATCTTTACCAGACTCTAAACTTGTTTTCGAATGTGAAAATCTCATAATAGATTATGCGCTTTACTCATCTTTTGGAGAGTACTTTGTTTATATCATTGATTCATTGGGAAATATTATGAGGTGCGTATATAACTTTTTAAATAAGGAACTGATTGTTTGCTGCATATTCGAATTATATTTATAGACTTCCTTGGAATGATGAAAAACCAAGAGGCTCGATTCCCACTTTAGATAAATTGGCTGAATTTATACCGAAGAAAATGAGTGTGGATTGGTTAAATAAAATGCTCTTCATAGCAGTACATGTAAGTTTATTGCAAATTCCCTTCATGATAGCTATGAGCTAAATACTTTTCCACCATTTTAGACACCTATTGCTGAGTGGGCAATTATTTCTACGGATTTAGATGGCAACTTTCCTAGTTTTATAATAAAAAATGTTACTAAGTCAATCGATCACATGGAAGTAGATCCCATAAATGGTTGGTTATTTTGGATCAACAATGGCAACCTTATTCGAACAAATCTTGCTACTAATTACTCAGAGATCATAATTAAGAGGAATGTTGGTATTTTTTCAAACAATTATCAAAGGAGTTTATTAATATTTTACAACACAAGTGATCACGAATTATATGAAAGCACTTTTGATGGGGAATATATACAAAATCTTCGTTTGAAATTATCTATTAACATGCCGCAAATTCAAAGTTTTTGGTACAATGGGATTCATCTTCTGGGCACGAATGGTACTCATCTATTCAGGAAGAACTATAATGAACATGAGTATGACATTTCGATTGTGAAAGAGTTGGAATGGTGTTGGAGTGTTACGCCATTGACACGACAAACAAATTTTATACAAGCACAACCAATGCTAGAAAAAAGTCCGGATAATTTGAGAGCTTTTGTCACTTCTAAGATGGCGAAAATTGTTTGGAATGAACCTAAGCTAACTGAATACCAGACAGAATATGCCTGGCGCAAGTGGGATTATGAGCTTGAAATTATGGACTTGGCAAGTAATAGCGCTTTTAATATACGCAATATAAAGACAAACTATTTCAATGTGGAAAAATTGCAACCGAACAATGTGTATAAGTTTCGTGTACGTGTAGTTCTTGGTGGTACAATGGGCTCGTGGTCTAGAGCATTGTTGACACGTACTTGGCCCTTTGGGGAGTATACATTTTTAGCAGCAAGCCTAAATGGTATATACGAAATTAATGAAACCGGTGAGCATGTAGAGCAGGTCGGTCAAATGGAAAACGTAAGAGATTTTGTGCAGTTGAATGCAACAATATACTACATTACTGAGGACAATCGTTTGCAATGTGCGAACATCATAAATCCTGAGATAAATTGCTCATTTACAGCCACAAATGCGATTAGCTTGTCATATGAGTGGCGAGGTGGGAAGATGTATTGGGTAGATTCTCTGGGAAATTGTGTGAAGAGAGCGAACTTAGATGGCAGTCAACAAGAGATGCTACCCATATTCAGCGCAGAGTACATCGCAATAGATTCACATAGTGGCCACATTTACTACTCAACAAGAACGAGATTAGTGAGACGATTTTTAGGTGATACGCTTGACACGGATGAATATGAATATTACCATACCAACACAAATGAAGACGTAATAAGTGAATTTGCCTTGGATATTATAGCGAAACGACTGTTTTGGGTTGTTCGAAAAGGCGATGGAGACGTTCAGTTATTCCGAGTAAGCATTGACACGTTTGTAGATGACTTGCAATACAGTTTCATAGAAAACGGCATTCAAATGGGCTCTTTAAATTTTTTACATGAAATTGACAGTGTTATTTGGTTGACGTCAAATTCAAATACAATTATTTTCGTAAGAACCGGCAATTCAACTAATGAAATGCAAATTCAACTACCTCAGTTAAGCAAAATAAACTGCATTCATTTAAAGTCAAGTTATATACCATCCATTGATTTGTCTGTTGTTCCTGAAGCTGTTGACATCAAAAGTATTCGTATTAATCAAGCCTATACAAATGAATGGGTTATTAGATGGCATCCGGTTAATACTTCGGAAAATTATGCAATATTCTACAACATTCTATTACAATTTAATAATTCTAATTACCAAACAAATGTAATTTATAAGACTAACGAATCATTCGTAATAATGGATAAAACTCACACATTGGAGTCATATTTTAATATTTCTATAACACCGTTCACATATTGGAGCATTGGTTCACCCACGATTCTACAACTTTTTATTCCTAGTACTAGTATATTCCCTCCAGAGCGAATGCGAATTTTTATTGAGCCCTTCAATGACCCACTTGAGGCTAAAAACAATATTACCGCAACTGTTCGTTGGGAATCTCCGGAAAATGAAAACACCTCTTCTAAAATAGCATATAAAATATATTGCTGGCTTGGAAAGAAACTGCACGCTGAAAGAATTTATAATTCAAGTAATGAAAGATTTTTTGAAATATCAATTGATGGTCTGCATATTGGAGAGTCTTATGTTTTCCAAGTTCAATCTTTTATATCGGGAATTGAAAAACTAGGGCAAAACAGTACACTTCAACTTCACATTAACCCAGAAGTTCAATCCAAACCCATCTTTATATATGCCACAAGTGAATATATTGCAGAATACGATCTGGATTTGAATATCAACAAAGTATTAATACAAACCAGCAGTCAAGTGGAGCATTTAGCAGTTATGTCAAGCGAAAAACGTATTTTGTGGGTAAACGAAAATGTAGAGCTTATTTCGGCAACAGCTGGTTTAAAACCAATCAAATTAGCCAGAATGCGGGCTGAAGTTCTGTCTTTGACAGTCGACTGGATTCAACGGATTGTATACTGGGCTGAATTGGATACAGATGATAAGTCCAGTGTCTCCATATATGAGCTTGATTTATGTCAGTTCGAAGGAAAAGTAATGGCACCACATAAATTACTTACTCTTGACAGAGGGAAAAATGTGCGAGACCTCACTATAATGCCATTTTTGAATATTCTTCTTTGGCTTGAACGTGACAAGGAAGCTAATATTTCTACTCTTGTTGGTCGAATTTTGAGTAATTCCACTTTCATGGATTTCGAAACGACATATTTTCACAAAATGTTTGTGTCATCACTGGAATCTGTTAGCCTGGTAGATATGGATGGAAATATTTGTATTTATGACATTTCAAAGCGTATGTGTAGTTCACAAATCGAAGCAGTTCTGGCCAAACCAGAGGAAATATTTAAAATAGACCGTGATAGCAATTATATATATCTATTAGAAAATGAAAAAGTATATTCATATAGTGTTCAAAAACAAAATTTTGAATATCAAGTAAACATTAAAGACATAAAAAATGTAAAGGCATACAACTATCAACATTTTCCGGAGCGCAACTGCCTTTTACCGGATCATGATATGTTATCAAAAAATAAGCAATTGTTAAACCCTAAGATAGTTTATGTGAGTGAAAACTATATGACCTTGAATTTTCCAAACCTATATGAAATTGAGAAATGTACAGTAAAAGTTCCGGGGATAAAACATACTTTATGGATTACAGATAATTACAAAGAGTCGCGAAGCCACATAACGTTAGATAACACTCTAAACGTAACAAATATTCAGCCTTTTACCAATTATACTATACAATTGTCTATATCATCTTATTATCAAAGAAAATTCAAATTAGATGAATGGTATTCTGATATTATTACAGTGCTCACAGATGTAGGTACACCTTCTGTGCCTGTCAATTTCACGGCATATGCCTTAAATCCCACACAAATTTATGTTACATGGAATCCTCCGGAGCGACCTAATTGTGGAAAAGTATGGTATGAACTACATTGGCAAGAAATGATCTCTAGTGAAAGGGCATACAAACGAATTAACAGTCTAAACTATTTACTTACGAATTTAGAATCTTCTCGAGAGTATAAACTTTGGTTGAAAGCTTTTTCTAACAAATCCAAATTCAACAGCACACTTTCGGTCATAGTGAAGACATTTGAAACTCCTTCTCGACTTTGGCTAGTAAAAAAATCTGCTCATAACTTGACTTTAAGTTGGGTTACTTCGGATAATGTTACTAGGTCGGTTCTCGCTTGCCAAGAAGTAAATGGCGATAATGAGTTCAGTATTGATATTACAGAAGATTCATCTTTAATAGTTGTACCAAATTTAGATCCAAAAACGAAATATCAGTTTTTCCTTGAAATATTTTATGGATCTCTTGTAGATCCTTATATATGGCCAGAGGTACCTAATGAATACTTCATTTATGAAACCCTGGGCGCATCTCCTGGACGACCAGGTCAACCGCAGATCGAACATACCATAAGGGACGTGTTTAGAATATTTTGGGACGCAGCTCCAAATAATGGGGAGTTAATAGCAGAATATTCTTTGGAGGCGTTACAAGCTCGTAAAACCAAACGCATAAGAAGAAGTCAAGCGACAAATCTAGACTACATGAATAATTCAGTAGACAATTTCAGTCAAATTCTTTGGGCCGAAGAACCAAGTCCAATTGAAGATAAATGGATAGTGGCATGTAGTACAACCAAATTAAATTGCATTATACGAGAAATTTATATACAGAGACTTTTGATGTTCCGAGTGCGCGCAAGAAATGAGTTATATGGTTGGGGTCCATATAGCTTGGATAGCGAACGAATTTCAGAACCTTTTGTGTCTCCAGAAAAAAGGGACTCATTGGTATTAGCTATAATAACTCCGGCAGCTATTGTTTCTACATTTGTGCTTATTTTGATTTTATTACGTACATGTAAGTTTACAATTATATTTTTTTTAACTAAAATTCCATTAACTTTTACATATTTAGTACAAGTTAGACGACAAAAAGCTAAAAAACTACTTGAAAAAAGCCGTCCAAGTATATGGAGCAATATCTCTACACTGCAGCACCAGCAACTTATGTCATCTCGTAATAGAGCATTTTCTACCACAAGCCATTCGACATTGTACACCGGTGGTCCTTTAAGTGATGCCGATATTGCTCTTTTACCACACATCAATTGGAGTCAAATAACAATATTGCATTTCTTGGGGAGCGGTGCATTTGGAGAAGTGTATGAAGGATTAATAAAACATGAAAACAGTGATCAACAGAAAAAAGTTGCTATTAAAGCAAGTATTGAAAATGATTGTATGTATGTAAGTAAAACGAAAGTAAGATTGCTGTTTATTTTATTATACAGAGCCTCAGAAAAGGTGCTAGTGAATTTGCTGAACTTCTGCAAGAAGCTCAATTAATGAGCAACTTCAAACATGATAATATTGTCCAACTTATTGGTGTTTGCTTTGACACTGAGTCTATCTCTATAATAATGGAGCATATGGAAGGAGGGGACCTACTGACTTATATCCGCAACTCAAGACCGAACTCTAAGGTATCTACATACATATTTTATCTTATCAAATTGAAACTACAACTAGACAAACTATCTTTATAGAGGCCTATAGCTTCTCTGAAACTCTTAGACCTAACATCGATGTGTATTGACGTATGCAAAGGTTGTTGTTATCTAGAAGATATGCATTTTGTACACCGCGACCTCGCTTGTCGTAACTGCTTGGTATCTTCCAATGATCCAAGTAAGCGTATGGTGAAAATTGGTGACTTTGGATTAGCTCGTGACATATATAACAGCGACTATTATCGTAAGGAAGGTGAAGGTCTTTTGCCAGTTCGATGGATGTCTCCAGAAAGTCTAGTCGATGGTATTTTCACAACACAATCTGACGTGTGGGCTTTTGCCGTTCTTTGTTGGGAAATATTTACTTTAGGCCAGCAGCCTTATGCTGCAAGAAATAACTATGAAGTCCTAAATTACGTGAAAGACGGAGGAAGACTAGAGAAGCCTGAAATGTGTCCCGCTGAGCTGTAAGCCTTGATATAAAAAAATATGTACATCTACTATACAAATTAATAATTAATTATCGAAATATTCACAGATTTACTTTGTTATTGCAATGTTGGAGTGAACAGCCGGAAGACCGACCATCGTTTGAAAAATGTTTTGTTGAATTATTAAGAATTAAAACAGAGTTAAGACGAGTTAATTTAGGATTTACAAATGATAGCTCTGATAATGCTTTATATGCTAATCAGGAAGAAAGTTGTTTAAGTACATTTCCAATGACCACAGTTGCAAAAGAAAATGCTCATAATGTTCCCACTGAGGCAGTCTATGGTGGAAAATTGTTAAAGACCAATGTAAACTTGCCAGCTCAGTTCGAAACATTTTACCAAGACGTTGATACAAAAACAATATCTGACGATTCTCAGTTAATCGAAACGAAAATAGAAGCAATTAATATTGGTCAAATTAATGAAGCTATATCCAGGCTATGAAAACCCGTCCAACACAAACCAATTTATGAATATGAGTATTTACAACAAAAACTCGATTTATTATATTTTCAATAAAGAACTGACGAAAAGTTATATATTATAATTTACCATTATGTTCGAATTTTGTACAAAAATATGTCACATAACTGTTAGAAATGTTTAATTCTTGTTAATATCTGATTTGTTATTTGAAGTACTCTATTAAACTTAACTCAATTTTAAAGTAAAAGTAAATTTTAAATTAAACTAATTTACATAATGATTACCACAAGATAAACTAACAATTGTATACTTTTCACAAATCCCTCTTTCTTACAAGAGTTCAAAATGCCGCAAAGAACTGAAAACATACACAAACACACACAAAGAAATTTCAAGTTTCAATTACATCTGCTTCAGTTGTTTTTCAGTTATTCCATCAACACCTTGCACACAAAATATTTGCTTTGAATAAAACCCCCTGAGGATTACTTTTTGTCCCTAGAGTTGCACGTGCTGCTTTAAGAAAGAAACTTAACTGAAGGAATGAGTAAGAAGAGACAGCCAATTGGCAGGTATAAGCAAATTATGTTAAATTCGTAATATGGCATTCAGCAACACAATAATAAAACCCCACCCACTTATTACTTATTCATATTTTTTTAAATCCCAAACAGTGAGAGCTATTATTAAGATGTATAGCAGTAAAGCTCCGGCTACATTTGATGTGCTTCCAAAGGAGAGTAGTGTTATTTTCGCTGCCTCCAAATAGTAAATGATTTTTTCTGACAATTTTTTTATATAAAGAACGATGTACATAATCGATGATTTTGAAAGAACTATCGAAAAGCATTGTCATTCCGCGTTATAAAAATATTAAGCTATATGACTTATATACAATAAACGATTAAATTATGTGTCTATTATACCGCATATACTCTGAACTATTTATGAATAATACGAATAATTGTTAAATGTCTAACAAAAAATTGTATCATACCTTTTGAGATTGTTTGTTTGCCAAAGAGACTCTTCACTTGTATTAGAATTGTAATTATAGACTACCGAAGAAGGAAGTAGAAATGCACTTTCTGAAATTAGACCAAAAGGCTTACAGTTAGAATTTTTTTGATATAGAAAATGTCTTATATTTTTAAAATATTTTAATATTTGATTACCAAGTTATATGCAATTAAGAACAACAAGAATATTGTGTAAAAATGTTGTTCTGAGTGGAATGTATTGACAAATTATTATTAATAAAAAAAAGCGAAACCAAAGTTAAACGGTGGTTGATGAACCAGAAATGGTAAAACCCTTTTGTTTTAATTATTTAATACGCATAAAGTACATACTATTGTCTATATGTATATTGTTACGTAAATACATTTATTGCTACTTCTTGCTATTTCTTGGTAGTTTTAATATGGATAAGCATCTGTTAATTTGTTTTAACTATGGCATATTGCCAAAGTTAGTGGAACTTGTACATCTACATATTTAAAGGGCATAAAAGAAAAGCCTCATGCAAATTTGATGGCATGAAAATTACTTTCTTACTACAAAGCTCACTTTCAGACTTGTAAACCATTCTGATGTGTGCGTCCCTTTACGCATTACAAAGTGTGCTCACCGCTGACAATTTGTAGTCTGGTTGTATTTAAGTTGCAAGAATTTAGTCGTATGCTTCCCCTCAGCATCACACATTTTACAGGTGATTACTGTGTCACTCATAATACGGTCACAACGTCACTCCCACGCGTGCAATTTTAAATGCATATACTTGTATGTGTACGTATACATATATTTACATACATTTGTATAAAGAGACGAATACGTAGCCATAAGTACACTCATAAATAGGCAACTGTTATATAAATACGCTGGCTCACCGGGCAGTCAACTAGTGAGGAATAAAACCAGTTTATATCTTCAAATTTCTGAATCTAATCGCACTATTCTGAAAAGCGTCAGCCCTAAATTGAGTGTTTTTTAAATTGAAATATGGGGTAAATTAAAATTAATCCTGAAAATACGAATAACCATCGATAGTTTGAACTATAAAAACAGTGCATATATTTCTGACCCAATTTATACATACAAACATCTCGTAGCGCATAAATACGGATTGTATGAAAAAATACCACCATTTGACTAGTTGCTCTTCTGGTTTATACTAGTTGTAAAGGAGTTTATAACTAGTTGAATTTACTAAGTACTAACATATTATGAATACATTCAAGAGTATAATTTGTATGTATAAATACACTTTAATTTATGCACTCTCGTGAGTTTGTGTGCAATTACCAAGTTAAGGAGCAGGTAGCAAAGAGTTGCTTTTTACTTAATTATTGCCAAGCGTTCGTTTTGAACACTCTTTGTAAAGTGTGGCTTTTTTTCCTCAACGCGACTACTTTCGGTAATACCAATTGTAAATGTGAAATTATATTTGAGACACGAGGCAATGAGGAGCTTATTTATCGTTTGTGTGTATGCAAAAATGTGTATAGATATTTTTTGTGCAATTAACGTATTTTTACACTATTCATAATTTTATTCAGAAAAATTCACACAAAACCATATTTTTTCAAAATAAACTTGCACCTACCTCGAAAGATTCGTTTTCCTCTATCGGTGTGACATCGAATACCTTGACAGCTTCTCTTTTGTGTCAGAGTTGGACAATGCTTTCCACCATTTTGCGGTGCCCGAATTATTTTACGGGTGCGTAGCATGACCCCTGTACCGCAACTCTTATCACACACACTCCATGGAGTCCACTCACTCACCTGGCAGTCAACCACTACAAAAGAGAAGATTACAGTTATTAACGCAATATTTATATTAAATTTACACTAG